AAACAACATGGTTATTTTTAGTATGTCTGACCATTTTTTTTTTTTCATTTAGTCATGGTTCCAGTTTTGAGCTTTATAAAGTTATTTTATGCACAATAACAACGCAATCTGTTATAGAAACTGGCAAATCGCAAAAATTGGAAATGTAACAAAAAATATTTTCTCTGCAAACTGTCATTTTTCTAGTAATGGTCTGTCACCTGCTTGCTGATATTAAACTTATCTATCTTCCATTTATTCAATTGTGTGTTTATTGCTCAAAAGTATGCACTCTTACTGTGCGTGAGCTCTCCTCTCCTGGTGTATCCTGCTTGTTTCCATGGAGATGGTTAAGTTTAATGCCATGTTATGAAACATTTGAGGCGAAGCACTAATATCTTCAAGGAGACGAGAGGTACTAAGTGCACCTTTTAAACCCTGTTAGCCATGTAAGCCACAAACTAAACTAATTGGGTTCCTTGTATTGGTTTAGCAGTTCACATTTAATTTTTTTGTCTTTGAAGTTTTTATGCACCTACATGAAATAAAATTGCAAGCTGTGAACTGAAGCCTACTGTTAAAACAAAATGTGCGTTCTTGTCAGGAAAACTGCATTAATTATTCTTTCTAAATTTAGATAAGGTTTCAATAGTGGTCATCTGGATACTGTTTTTTTTTTTTTTTTTTTTTTTTTTTCAGTCAAAACATTTTGGCGTTCATCCAGAAGGCATTTTCAATTTGATGGAACTGGCTTGAGTTTATTCCTTCGTTCAGGGTTCTCATGGTGATGGAAATCCTGGAAAAGTCACGGAAATTGAAAGTGTAATTTTCCAGGCCCGGGAAAAGTCATGGAATTTTGTAAATTCAATGAAAGTTTTGGAAAAGTCCATGGAATTTTAGTATGTTTTTGCCGCAACTACAGTGTTCTGTTAAGTTATCATTAGACTGTTATGATTATTTCCGAACGAATGCACCTTTTGTTTAAAAGAGGTGACAATAAATGCGCTGACAGTATTTTGAATGTTAAAAAACTATAATACCAAACCATAAGGTGAGTGGAAAGGGTTAACATTTCATATTTAGCCCGAAATGTATAATCAATTCTACACATGTAGGGTGCCGTAAAGTCATGGAAAATTCACTTTAGGTCATGGAAAAGTCATGGAAAATATTTGAAATTTTGTCAGTGAAGAAGAAAATTTATAGTGAACCACTCCTGGTTGAAAGAGGGATTACACAGTTTAGTTTTTTCCCAAGTAGTTTAGCATCCTTATTGTAAATCTACTCATCAACGGCAGATAATTCTGAAAAGTGCAGTGTCAAGTTCTACTTTTTTAAAGCCTTGTTCAGTCATTGAACTTGAATCTTACTCAAGCACAAGATACGACCGATTTATACAAAGAAAATCAATGTCTTACTTTCTACAAACATGATTTATGGGATGGGGCTTTTTGAGTCAAGGAGATTGGGTTAATATTGTCGTAATTGTTCAGCTTAAAATGCAGTCAGTGATAGAATAGGAGCAGAAAGAGACTCTTAATTTAGGCATTTCGTTTTTACTGCGCCATAAAGTCTAGTCAATTAAAGGAAGAGAACATTGTCTGTAAGAATATAGCCTATTTATGAAATTACCCTGAGTTATCTTGTTTGAAATCTGAGAATGATTGACGTCGGGGCGGGTGGGACTATGCACACAATAAGAGCCGATAATGAGACATGATTTTGACATTGTTTATTATACTAAGCCTGTGTAATTAGATTTGGTTTATTATTGTATTTTTATTCCACATTTTATTGCATAACAAATTAGTTTTTTAATTCATCAATATATACTTTTTTTGGAGAAGGTCAGAGATTATCTTGTTTTGCAGACAATGTTCCATAGTATAGCATTATCTTGCGTTTATTCAGTTGCAGATGTCTGAAAAAGATGCATTTTTACTGAGCGGGCTTGTCTCTACAGATCTGGCCTGTAATTTGGTCTGGTAGCGTTGTAACTGATAAAGCAATGATATTTCAGACAAGCAAGTCGTGTACCCCCTTGGAGAAAAGTTACATAGTGCACCTTTTAATTATTTATGGTAAAAGCTTTGGTTGTAGAATGCAGACTGATGTAATGTAATCATTATCAGGGGACAAAAAAAGAAAAATACCACATTTACCATTATCGCCAGAACGATAATTTTTCACAAAGACGAGAAGTTTTGACATTGTTTTTTGTGGCTTTTTGTTCTTGTTTTGTTCTTGTTTTGTCCGTAGCACAACATTTTGTTCTGTCCCTAATCACATTTACTGAGTGAGATGCACAAGTGGTACTATTTGTGCCTATCCCAAAACTGATGTGAAGAGGTTAATGGGAGGACTGCCTGGTTCAAAAATGTCAAATTTCTTTCCACTTGAAGGCAAATTTGCTGCAGTCACCTGCTTAAGCGTCAGTTTTTGCCCTAATACCATCTATGGCTGGGCAGTTAATTGAATTTGAATCGCGATTGGGATTCTGTCATCTCTAATAATTATATACCGGTACTAGGTATTTTTAATGGAGGGTCCACACTACAGTCATCTGTTAGTAAAAGCATATGGTTTGGATCAGAGGTTGAATTAAGCAGGTTGATTATTTCATGGCAATCATTAAGTTTATGTTGTTTATGTTCAAATGAATATTGAAAGCCATTTTGTTTTGGACAATGTGAGGAAAAAATCATGACAATTTTATTTTGTTACATCATCACACAATTTGAATGGATTTTAAAAAGATAAACAGGCCTTCAGTTTTGCTACGCCACATCCATGGATTGAACTACAAACTGAATTGCAAAGTGAACTTCGACTGGACAATCTGATCTTGCTAAATAAGACACTAAATGACTTGGAGGAACAATTGTCTGTTGTAGTTGTTTTATGAGGTGTCCATTTTTATAAAACAGTCTTAATGAGGTTATTGGATGATGAGTACAGTTGATTGGCCCAAGGTTTTTCTCTATCTCTGTTTGATGATTGTAAATTGTGCTGTCTCTTGACCAGGACACTCTTGGAAAACAGATTTTTAATCTCAATTAGGTTCTCCTGGTTAAATAAATAAAATTTAAAAATGTAATTAGCAAATTGCAAAGGCTGCGGTTTTTGATGTACCATAATTCCCTCCAACAAAGTGTCTTTTTCTGCTTAAAAACTGCTAACTCTGTAGTTTAGTTCTGTTCAGATTCATGCAGTAGTTTGTCAGTTCATATTTCAGTGTTTTTGTCAATTTTCATGGACACCTTTAAAGTTTGAACACTAACTCTACCTTCCTTTTGGTCAGACTGAAAAACATAAATATCTTCTGCCTTTTCTTTGGTGCGACATCTAAACTTAGAACGAGCAGCAGAACTTGTGTGGGAGGCACATGAAGTTTAGAACCATTTTTAAAACTGCCTTGATCTGTGCATTGATCTCTGGGGTAATGTTGATTTAGACGTCGTACTTAAGAATAAGGAGTTGTTTTTTAACATGTACATTCACAATTTTCACGTATAGAGTAGATTCTTCCACTCTTGAATACTGATTCACTTAGGAGTCTATATTACAGTATTCTGTGTTATAATGATGTGACCTCATTGAAAGCATAACCTGGTGTGTTTTTTTTCATTCACACATGTTTAACACAAACACACTGCATATTTAGACCGAGTTTGTACCTCAAACTAAAAACTGTTCTACCTTGTGATGTTATGTGGTAATACAGGAGCTGCTCCACTACGGTTTTAAGTTCTTTGCACCGTTCACTACAATCATTTGGCTTTGATTTGAATAATGATGATTTCAGTCCTGGAATTGCAAGTCTCTACTGAACAAAAGGCAAAAGGAGCTGTTAACTTGAAAACTACCGCTTCATTACAACAAAAAGTGGAACAGAGCATTTTGAGATTTGGAGATGTAGACAGACTAAGAATAAAGAGTTCCTCAAATGTGTCAATGAAACAAAACAAAACACAACTCTGGGTAAGTTTTTGAGGAGGTAGAAACATTATAACATGCCTAAAAGCTTACAAGAATCCATTTTATGTAACGTCAGACCTTTACAAGATAATAACATAATGGTGACCACCAGCATTATTTTAACTTTTAGACACAGACAAACAGAGGGAACATTTCATCTCTTAGGATTTTAGAGAGTTTGTAATCTTAGTGAGGGACAGATTTGAGTGGTTAGTGAGGTGACCTGGTCAGAGCCTCTCTTTGGCAGCTCCTGGAGTGTTTCTGGTCAAGAGGTACAAAAGAGATTTTTGTCTTGTGAAGGGCAAAACTGGACCATGATGAGTTTCTTTTTTCTGAATCTTCTATGTGAAAAATATCCTCTATAATATTAGGCGCTTTAAATGTGTGTAACGCTTAATAGTGCTAGAGACCAAATGTGAAAAAAGTCCACTTGACATTTGGTTGTACCTTGACTATGCCTAGTATATTTCAAGTATATATTTTTTTCTTTTGACCAAAAGGGATCATACACAACTCTACAATACGTTACAATACAACCCATTAAGCACAGTGCAGTAAAATCTTAAAATAATGTATTGGGATTCAGGGTTTAGGGTTTCAGGGTTCTGGGTGCTTGTTATTATAATACTGTACTACCAATTTTCTCCTTGAGGACAATCACGTAAATCTTAACCTTCGATTAGGCCGGTCACTATAATAAATTTGGAAGTACAATATATTGCTGAAGGAAGTCTAGACAATAAACAATAATACTGAATCTAATTTATGCCACTGACACAAACCCCTAAAGCAGGATTATCCCTAAAAAAAAAAAATCCAAAAACACTAAGTGCAATAAATAAACAACAGAATGAAATACTGTGAGTCATAGTAGTTTTGTATTCAGTCCTCTATAGCTCAAGCTTATTGTAGTACAGAAAAAAAAAGAAAGTCCCCCATTAGTACAAAGAAAAAGTTGGATAAAGTTGATGTATCAGATTTGGTGTAAAACTATTTCCCAAAAATCTAAGGTGAAGTGTGTGTGTGTGTGTATCTTTTTCCAGCCGCGGGGCAGTCTTCAGAGATAGAGATTGTGAAGCTGTCGGACCCCTCTGCTCTGCTCTCCTCGGATGTTTCAGTCATCGCTCTGGACTTTAAGGTGCTGCACCCAGTGGTGATCACCCGTTTGGGGGTGTTTTCGAGCGGGACCCTCTCTGAGCCCCAGACCAATGTGACTGTGAAGCTGCTCCAACTTGACCAAGAGGTAACAGACAAGAATTTAACGCTCTCAGATGTGGGCAGGAAAAACTTGATCATTTTTTTATAAGAAACAAGCTCCGTTTTCCTGCTTTTCTGAATGTAGCCAGTCAACCATACAAAAAGTAAACAAGAATTAATGTACTGCTTAGGAAAATTTATACATAAAACCACAAAATTGGAATATCAATAATTACAATTTACTTAATGATTCTTCAAAATGAATTAGGTCTATCACAATAACAAATACAATATATTTTGGAAGAAAATATAGAAGATAACTGGTAATATTGAAACTGATTCATGTCACTGACACAGTAAGGCAAGATTATCCTCAAAAACTATGATAAATGTACAATATTATAAAAAAGATAAATAAATAAACATGCATTCAACAGCAGAATTAAGCACTTTAGTAGTTACTTTGTTTCTGTAAAGAGGCATAGAAGTTATTTAGTCAACCCTCAAGAGCTCAAATCTAGTTGTTGTAAAGAAAAATAAAAAAAAGTTTCCCACTAGTACAAAGAAAAAGTATCACGAAATATATTGACCCTCAAGAATTACTGTTGGATCTGTCATATATTGAATTATCAGCTGATAAAGTATTTATCGTGGGCGTTTCAGGCTTAAAAGTCTTTGGATCTACATTTTGTCATTACATTTGCCTTCAATCCGCTTCTAAATCCGCAGAAGCAGGCAGTAGTTGGTTCTGATTTATGCATGCCTTGCGTTGGCTGAAATAATTGAAATGACGGGAAAATACTTTAACAGCGTATAAAACTATCACGACCACTGTAAAAAGACAGATATTTTTTGTCCCCTAGCATTTGTCTGGGCCTGTTAACGCGGCAGGTACCTCGGGGTGTAATGTAGTCCGCTCTGCGCTCGGAGCCTGGGGGCAGCTGGAGGACACTGCTCCTGTTTACTGCACTGTTTACAGATACAAAACAACAGGCTATTTGGGATAATGGACGGTGGAGGAGTGCTCAGCTATGATAAAAGACACATTTTATAGTCCAGTATTTGTAAAATGTTGTATATTTGATGCTTGGGGATATAGTTTATTGCCTTCAGTGAGATATTATAGGCAAATTTGGTAGACACAGACAACAAGAAGAGGAATGAATATGGAACTTATATTTTTGTGTGAAAGCAAACTTCGAACACTATCAACATTTTTGCCAACACTTTTTTTTAAATCTACTTTTGAAAAATGAAATGAGTCAAGATTTTTATTTCTAGTATTTGTCATTCAACATAAAAAAAATCCTGCTTTTAGAACTGTTATGGGCGTAATTTTTCTCTGGCTGAAACGCTTGCCATAAACATAGAAATATTAAAAGGGAGCTTTGTACCCCATGTGACAAAATACAGTAACAAATGAACCGAAAATTGTAAAATGATTTAACTATAAGAGTCTTTCATAATCTAATATTTTTTCTTCATAGTTAACAAACTGAGCAATCAGTTAGTATTATAAATTGTGCTTTTTATTGCAGTGGCGCTCAAACATTTCACATCACGTAACCCACCCCACATACTAGAGAGCTGGCTTATTGTATTATCATAAATATATAGGCATACCTTTTATAATCTTATTACCTCTATAACCTTTAAATCTTTAAACATTGCTTCTACTACAAAAAAACAAACAATTGTATTCAATACTTATTTAAATAAGGATTACTTGTACAAGGGTTGGGCATTCAATAAAATTTTCTTAATCTAATTAACTAATGATTTTCAATTAATCATTAACGTTTTTATTTTAAAATTATCATCATTATTATTGCATTATTATTACTAATCTGCATAAATAAGCTCAACTTTACAACATATAAACCATAACCACTACAGAGCCACATCAGCCTGTTTGAAATTATAATGTGTTTAATGCAGCTTCGCCACATTTGTTTACATCTTACAGAAATGAAACTTAAAACTGCATGGCTCATTTGCATAAACTATTAGTGCTGCTCTTAGCTCTTAGTGCAGCTCTTTAACAGTCATTTCACTCACATTATTTATGTTGGTCACTTTATTTATTTTGGCTACTGTTGTGATGAAAAAACTGAAAAGTGTTCGTCTTTTCGATGCATGCACACTCAACTTTATGTTGGGATACTGCATACACATGCACCATGACGAAACCGGGATACTCAAAAAACCCAATCATAACCGGGATACTGATCTGCATGTAAATGCACTCACTGAGTGGTGTAGTGATCTCCAAGGAGGTTTGCCAGAGACAAAATGTGAGACTATGAGGCAACAACTCCAGTGTCTGCGCTGTCAGACGCACTCTTGTCTCCTTACGCTATGCACAACAACCTACATTCGGTTTGTCGATTAAAAATGAACGAGGTTGATGAAATTCTTAATTATCAATTATTGATTAGGCGACTAATCATGCCCATCTCTAGCCTGTACCATCATAGTCTTAGCAAAAGCCTAAACACCTTGTATGGATGACTTTATGCCACCTTTACTGACAAAAAGAAAAGTTCATTTAAGTCCTGTTCATTGATTTTTTTAGGGACAGGTCAAAACAAACTTTACTGAAGAACTTGTTTGTGGCAGGACAAAGTTTAGTCCCTGTGGCATTCCTCATTTTCTGAGAGTAAAGACAAGTATACTGTGTGGCAAAAAAAGCTGAAAGTTGACCTAAAGTTTGTAAGAAGAAAGTCTTTTTGACGTTTTCCTTTGGGGTGAAAGTTGTACGTGTTTCAGGAGGCTGTGGTGACTGCGCGATTCAGCTCCATCAGCACTGGGGCCCTGGTGAACGGAGTGTGGTACAAACCAGTGGAGCAGTTCATTTTGCCTAAGGTCAGACTCACAACACTTCTGCTGACCACAACACTTAGAGATCAGCCATAACATTATGACCGGTCAAGTGAAAAATCAAATCAGAATTGGTTTTCTAATGACATCTATTTAAAGCGCAGAGACTTGGTTAATTGAGTAATATAATGGACTCTAAATAGCCATTTCCTGTCTGCTGTGGGCTTTATTATCTATAAAGCTTGTTAATCCTGTAGTTTAGACATCAATATTATTATCATTATCATTTTATATTTTAGTGGTAATCTTCATAACGTGTCTACATCTGTGAACCGAATTTTGATTTTTTTAAAACTTGCAAATTCTGTCATAATTGCAATACTTGTCAGAAAACTGTCATCTTTTTCCACATGGTTCACTTCTAATAAAAAAAACTATTTATCTTTTCAGCCATTGCAGCTTGCAGTAGGTTTGAATTCATTACACCCAAAGTTGCTGTTTGATCCTTGTCGGTATTTGCGTTATGCCGTTTCCTCCAGTGCCTATATAAAGCACTGTATACATGTGGATACTTCTAATTAGTGCATATATTGGCTGTTGTGTTTGCTCTGTGTGATCAATTCCAACAGACAGTCATATTGATTGAATTAGGAGTGGGCGATATGGCAAAACATTAAGATTTGATTATATATTATATAATCATCAGCTCAGACTTATGGCTGCTTTCCCTGGAATGGTTCCACAGCATGGCATTTATTTCCATGGAGACAAGCAGGTGGCAGCACCAAGCCAACTGAGAGGCCAGAGCAATAAGAATAACACCTGTAATTAAATAAGATGCAGGGTGCTCTGCCAGTTCTTTTTCGGTGTGTTTTTTGTTAAGGTTGACCACTTTCAACATTTTATATAGTCTACACAAGGAAAACATCAAATATATGAATCAGGATGTATGGAATTATGTAACAAAGAAAAAAAAACTTAAATAACTCAACTAAATATTTAAAGGGACAGTTTGGAATTTTGGATATAGGGTCTCAGAGTGTTGGAGACGTGTGGAGACACTTTTTAAAATATTCCATCCAGTCCTTGTATTTGCAGAGGTCGCTGGTGCTAGACTAGCGCATGTCAATGGCCATAGCCTAAAAACAGTCTTACCCACTCCACAAAGCACCCGAAGCAAATCTATTATTACGCCAGACTGTCGATGTGAATGTCTGTGTTGATAGAATAATGTTTGAAATAAACTAACCTTGCATTTGAAGCGAGTTGTACTTCCTGATAGAAAGCTTGGCAGTGGCGTACTGATATATGAGAAAATAGTCTCTCAACATGCGACGATTAATGCGATGCAAGGTTAATTTTTTTTTCAAACATTATTCTATCAACACAGACATTTACATCGGTCTTGAGTAATAATAGTTTTGCTTTGGGTGTTTTGTGGTGTGGGTAAGAGTGTTTTTAGTGGCAGGATGGCCATTGACATGCACTAGTCTAACACCAGCGAGCTCTGCAAATACAAGACTGGATGGAATACTGTATTTTCTATTGGGCACGCTCTTAAGCCTCCAACCCCATCAAAAAACGACTGCATGCCCAATACACGAATCCACTCGGGTGTCCCAGCACGACTTCAGTAAACTACAAAGCTGCACCACCCACAGCGCACGCAAACACACACGGAGCAGACAGCGACCCCGCAGCGAAAAACACCCGCAGCCACACTCATCACTCTGCGCGGACGAAAAATGCAATGGAGGAATGAACTGAAAAATTGAGTGAAATGTGCTACACTGCCACAACTGAACAACTGAGTCACTGCGAACACGCCAACAATCCAGCGGTCCCAGACAGCACCCTCCCTACATGCCACAACTGAACAAAGCCGAGAATCACCGTGACCGTGCCAAACAAAGTCCGACTGAGCCATCTAACTGTTGTGTTTCGTTCAAAGTTCAGTGCCGTTTATTTATGAAAAAAGTTTTAAAATAGACCATCCTATGACAGTGCGCCTTATAATCAAGAGCGCCTAATAATGCTCAAAATACAGTATTTAAAAAAGTGTCTCCACACGTCTCCAACACTCTGGGCCTCATTTCTTAGTTAGCCAATGCCCAAAATTCTGAACTGTCCCTTTAATTTGTCCGAGTAGTTGCCCTTTGCTTTGCCGACAGCCCTGCAAACCCTTGGCCTTCTCTCAATGAGCTTTTTGATGAATTAACATGAAATGGTTTTCACTTCACAGCTGTGTCTTGTCAGGGTCAAGAAATGCCAAAAGTGCAAATCAGTGATCTAAAAGGTTTTTAGTTAGTCAAATAAATTAAAAGACCTAAATGAATGTGTGTGTCCAAACCTTTGACTGGTAATGTATTTCATAGGGTTTTGAGGGGACTTTGGTTTGGGAGAGCCTGGACTCCGCTGGATTAACTTCAGTCAACTCATCGTCTGTGCAGCTCAATGATGGAGGAGGAGTTCTGAAGTTCTCCTCTGTAAGTCCCATTATAATTAATTCAGGAAGTCAAATAAAGCATGTTCATTTATAAAGGACAGACTGTGCGTTGCAGATAGCAGAGGGCATACTGCCTCACAGAAGTGCACTCGGCTTCCCTGGTCTGGCTGGAGGCTTCACGTTCAATATTTACGGTTTGTTTATTCATTGAGAGATATTCATGAAAACGATAATGGTCTTTTAGCCAAATGTTTGAGGACAACCCCACATGACAGAGTTCAAAAACATTGTTCACATTGGCAGGTTAAGAGATTAGCTTGTTTTTTATTTGTTAGGGGCTCTTGCATACGAGCGAAAAGGGGGATATTTCTCCCCTTGTCGTAGCCTGTGTGTTTATTGTAATCTAGCCTCCTTTATTTGCAGCTCTTTTGTGAAATGGATTTCTAGTCATTGAGAAACAAAGAAATTAAATTCTTCCATCAGTGAATACAAACTAATGGCCCATTCTTTGCACCAGCGCTTGTTATTATGTATTATTTGCCAAACAGATTTATTGAATTGCTTGTACCGTGTTTCCATTTAGAGGAACATAAATGTGGCGATGGCAAAAATGATTAATCGCATTATACAACAATGAGCTGATGTTGTCTGGATATAATCACTAAATTATTTTTACATTTTCAACAAGTATTTCCCCAATAGAAATGATTCTCTCTAAATGACACCAAATGTGGTGAATTTATCATTTTAATTACACTACTGACTACTGTGGTTGTGTCCTTGGGCAAAACACTTCACTCAGCTATCCTGTGATTGAGTACTTCAATGTGCTTTCAAGAGATTGTGAAGGCTGAGGATCTGATATAATAATTCAGAAGGTTTATGGTTCAAATCCCTCTTGTCCCGATACCTGCTCAAAGTTAGCCATAGTCATAGTTTCAATACTAGTTTTAGTTTCTATAGATTTTTTTATTTGATTGATTTAATAAACAGCCCTGGTCCTGAGATCAGGCTGGGATTTGGGATTAGTTAAGTGCATCAGTTTATAATGAATTTATGTTGTTCACAATACAGCTTCTCATATCGATATTGTCAAGAAGTCACGATATATTGCTGTACTGATCATTTTGAGTACAACAGCCCTTCCTGAGATATAAAAACACATTAGATTGTGAGCAGAAATATTAATAACAAAAATTATTTCTTCATAATTATTTCTCTTATTTACATCTTCCCCCTCTCGTCTCCACAGATGCTGAGACTCTGTCAGGGCTGCTGCGAGCTCGTCCAGCCCGGATGGAGAAGCACGTTCTGGAGCTGAGGCAGGAGGACATGTCCCTGGAGCAGGAGAGTCTGAGACATGGAGACATGGTGTTTGTGGATGTGGTGGACACCTACAGGAACGTGCCCACCAAACTACTGCAGTTCTACAAGTGGTGAGTCCCGTCACAGAGTGGGATGTTCAAAAATCTCACTGTACAATATCATCATAACATTTTTCACATGGTATGATAGAATTACAACATTTCAAATTTAATTTTGATAATAAAGAGTAAACTCAAGACTTACTCAATACCAATTCTGATCCAAATGATAATTTTAAAAGCTAATTTTTTAATCATTTTTAATACCAAATAATAGTATATGTTTATTAAACCATGCGGACTAGTTCTGATAAAACTGAAGATAAAACTGTTCAAGAAAGGTCCAATTTTATCCAGTTTTTTGGGTTTTTTTTGTTTGTTTTTTTTTTACTTAAATTTAAGTTTTAGTATATGATGTTTGGTTCTTATGATACAGGTTTTCAGCAATGAAAAATGAAATGCATAAAGGATCTTGTGCTATGAGTTGTCTTTGCCTTTTTAGAGTGCAGAGAACTGCAGCAGCAAAACAATAGATTTAGGCCGAGTGTGCACCGAGGAAAACTTTTTCAAAGTGGAGAACTGCAGACAGTTGGTCAATACAGTGATTCGTTCAGATTGGTGCCTCTAACATGCCTATTGTAGAGTCACTGTACTTTTATTAAGGTTTGGGACATTTTAGGTTTGTGTCACAATACGACGAGATGCCACTATGTTTTACTTACTTAGATGTGCATCAGTTTGCAGTAAAAAAAAATCTCTTTATGATCATTTATTCCAATTGAGGAAAAAGGTTGAGAGCCAACAAATTTGGCTCTGAGGTCCACATTTGGCTCCCGGGCCTTAGTAAAGTTATATAGTGCACCTTTAAATCACTGTCCCAGTCTTATATGGTCAGTTATTATAGAGTTCAACATCTTTTCCATCAGCACAAATTAACTTCAGATCATCACAAACATGCTATATTAAATAACTGTGAATATTATTGTTTTATATAAAAGTTCATTCCAAACAAAGCAGTCCTTGTACTTAATAGTCCACAGCAAAAGGTAATCAATCAATATCAGCAGTTAAATAAGACTACTTATTAGTGAAAGGAATAATTACCAGATCTTTAAAGAATTGAGTACATTTTCAGTTAATATTATCAGTAAAGTCCTAAATGAATGTCTCCTAATAGAAACATTAATTCTGGTTATTGCATTTGTGAATACACCATAGTAATGATAAATCTGTGAAATCCAGTGCAGCCCTAGTGCTAATGACTCCTATTCTTTGAGTCCGAATTGGCCGGGCCTCAGAGGAAATCAGCCGTCTGAAATGAAAGTGTGGCGTTCACTGTGAAAAACCTCTCTCTGTTACAATCTGCACTGCAATCACCTCCAAAAAATACAGCTGTGAGTCACCCAATCGCAGCAACAAGCCACGAGCTGACAGGGTAAGGTCAATTATAGTAAAAGTAAGAATATTTGTACTTCCAAATGGCATCCATCAAGTACAAGTGAAAGGCGTAACTTTTCAAAAAAAAAAATTTGCGTTTGAGTACATTTATACAAAAAATGTTATTCATACATATATAAATTTAATACTAGGAAAAACTAAACAAAACAAACGGTCCTTACCCAAATAAATTTTAAATGTAAGCATAATTTCTACAAAATGTTTTTTTTGTACTTGCAAAACCGAAATTGTTGTTTTTCTTTTCAGATTTGTTTGGGAAATTCAAGATCCAAATTATTCATTCCTCAAAATAGTTTTGAATTGATAAGTACTGGTAACTGTTATTAATGTGATAGATTTGACAAAAGTACTGCTTTTAGGCAGTAGTCTAAACAGGGGCTCCCAAACTTCCTTCACCTGGGACACTTCCTCCAGCTCTTCTGGGGGCTTCCAGGCCAGCCGAGAGACATAGTCCCTCCAGTTTGTCCTGGGTCTTTTCCAGGGCCTCCTCCTAGTGGGTTGTACCTAGAACACCTCCACAGGGAGGTGTCTGGGAGGCTTCCAGAACAGATGCCTCAGCCACCTCAGCTGCTCCTCTCTATGTGGAAGAGCAGTGGCTCTACTCCGTGCTCCTCCTGTGGGACTGAGCTCTTCACTCTTATCTCTGGGAGCGCCCAGCCGCCATGTGGAGGAAACAGATTTTGACTGCTTGTATCTGTGATCTTATCCTTTCGATCATTACCTAAACCTCATCACCATAGGCGAGGGTAGGAACGTGGATTGACCAGTAAATTGAGAGCTTTGCCTTTTGTCTCAGCGCCTTATTCACCACAACGGTCTGATACAGCGACCAAATCACTACAGAAGCTGCACTGATCCACCTGTCAATCTCACGCTCCATCGTCCCCTCACTCATGAAAAAGACCCCGAGATACTGCTCAATTAATAGTACTGTATTCATATTCATGGAGAAACCTTGTTATATGAGTAAATGACAAACGTAAGTACCCCCCTCAGATATCAACGACTCGGCGAACTGCCCAGAGTGTATCATTTGTTTTGCCCTCCTCTTGCCCTTTACTGCGGCTGGTATTTGAATGTGACTTCACTCTGAGATTTGGGGAATAATGTGAATTTGGACTTCTTAATTAAGGTCACAAACTCCCGTGTGTTTCAGGTCTGTGGGAAATGCAGACTTTAACCTCCTGCTGAAGACCGACGATGACTGTTACATCGATGTGGACGCAGTTTTGACAAAGATCGACCAGAAGGCCCTAAAACGCAGCAACTTCTGGTGGGGCAAGTGAGTAGAGTACAGTGACTTTGTGCTTTTAGGCAGGCTTATGTACCATTAGACGTTTACATTCAGACTTAGTACACTACCTGGAGGAGTAGTTGACAAAAGTACTTACTTTCTTGAACCTCTACATCTGTGTAATATTATTTTTGAAGTAACAATACTCTTACTCATGTACATTTTTGACTTCTCTAAATACTTCTTCTTTTAGATATTGAATGACTCATTATCTGATGTACAAGAACACAAAACAAAGTGAATTAGATTGGCTCAAATATCATAGAGAAATACACGACAGTAACATAAATAATATTGCTGGCTAAATAAAGTGTACCTGAAGAATTTGAGCTATTGGGTAATTATAATTGCGGTGTAGAGTTTGAATAAATTTATGGAGGGACAATACCATTAATCTTATGTACACTAGTTGAATAGTAGTAATTTAAATGTGAAGGGGTAAAATAAAAAGCAAAATTGTGAAGAATATAAACTTTTACAAAATACAATATGGATGTTAATTATAAATAAAGTATACACAGCCAAACTAGATTTTTAAAAGTTTAATTTCAATAGTTTACTTTTCACTTAAAAAAAATCTGTATCTGGAATATTTGTAATTTGTTTGCATAGAAATGTGTCCAGTTTTTATGTATTTATTTTGCCTAATAGCTCTTCTATTACCACAAGGCTGTTAAAAAGACATAAACATGGAATAACACATTAGCGCTATGGCATTTTTGTAAAAAAAATTTGATAATTATTGTAACGCAGAACAATTTAGTAAAATATAGACACATTTTCTAACTCTGTCTATTCCAATTACGACTCCAGTTCAGTTGCGATGATTTGTTATAATGTTGTTTCCTCTTTGTTTTATTCACACACAAACCCTGTATATTTGAGCTGAATTCAGGGTACCCATTTCTCCATGGAAATGTCAGTTTCCATTTCCATTTCCAATAAATGGAAATTGACATTTTCAATTTCCATTTCATGAAAATTGAAAATGTCATTTTCCAGGCCTGGAAAAGTCATGGAATTTTAGTATCTCTCTCATACAACTATAGCATTCTGTTAAGTTATCATTAGGCTATTGTGATTATTTCTGAAAGAGACGGCAATAAATGCATTGACAGTATTTTAAATGTTAATTAAGGTTAATGTTAAATGTTAAATGTTAAAAACTATAATGCCAAATCATAAGGTGAGTGCAAAGGGTTAAAATTTCATATTTAGTCCTAAAAGTATGATCAATCCTACACATGTACAGTGCTGTAAAGTCATGGAAAATTCACTTTAGGTCATGAAAAAGTAATGGAAATTTTTTTTTTATTTTGTCAGTGAAAAAGAGTGGGAACAAAAGGTAAAAATTAGCTGTTAACATGAAAACTCAAGGTGGAACAGAGTGTATTAAACTTTGGAGATGTAGACAGATTAATAATGCAGGATTACTCAAATGTGTGAATGAAACAAAACACAAGTCTGGGTATGTTTTTGATGAGGTAACAACAATCTTAACATGGCTTAAAGCTCACAAGAGTTCATTTTGCATAATATAAGACCTTTAATATCAGACCTCCTTCAGTACATGCAAAAACCTCTCTGATATCACCCATACAAATGTCTCAACCATCCCTATTCATACTCTCCAGCTTTAGTCCCTTGCTGCATTTATGAATTGAATTTGCAAACTCATGTGAACTATAGAAGCTAAAGGCTAGACAAAGTGCATGCATATTTCACAAAGGTCAGGTGAATGTGCAGATGTGATGCTAACTGTCTGTGCCCCAGTTTCAGACAGAGCTGGGCAGTGGACCGTATCGGGAAGTGGCAGGAGCTGGAGTACCCGAGCCCGGCCTATCCTGCTTTTGCCTGTGGGTCGGGATATGTCGTCTCCAAGGATCTCGTCCAATGGTTGGCCAGTAATGCAGAGAAACTCAAGGCGTACCAGGTATGAAAGTAACATAACATGTGTGGTTCTAAAGGTGCACTGTGTAACTTTTCTACTTGAGGGCCCACTTCTCGTTTATCTCTGTGGAGTATGGTTGTCAAATGTGGGAAAACGGATACTAATTGATGCTAAAACCAGTATTGAAACTAGATATTAATTTGAACATTTGTATTGATACTATCAATAAAAATGTGACCGATCAGAACAGTTTTTTTTAGGATGATCACATAGGAACATATAGAAAGTACCAGAGGTGGGGACTTGCACATCATAACTTGGACTCGAGTCAGACTTGAGTCACTATTTTTAGGACTTGAGACTTGACTTGATAAAACAGACTAAGACTTGGAACTCGACCTGGACTTGTAGGTCAATGACTCAGGACTTGAGGCCTGTGACTTGAGAAGACTTGATGCTTCTACTAAAAATTGACATGTTTTTAGACAGTTGATCCATGTGGTGCTGAATTTTATAGGAACAAACTGGAATATGTCCCTCCCACTTTTCTGTTTGTTGTATTTTGGATCTAACTGAAGTACTGTGACATGGTATCCTCAAATGTACTACAGAAATGTACAGTATATACAGTAATATACAGTACAATAGAGTAAAACAGAGGGAACTAAATAGAACATGGTCATTTCATTTTAATGCAGACGTCTGTTATTTAGCATTTTAAAATCTGAATTCTTTTAAATCTGACTGTAATGATTCACACTAAGATCTTGTCAAGACATTTAAAAAGAAAAAATTGCGTTTCTACAACTCTTATGTAGATACTCATATATAAATATACCATGACCTTTTCAGTACAGTTTAGTTTAAAATTCATATAAATTTCAAAAATCTAAGCTATATTTGGTATTTTGGACTTGAAATGACTTGAAGCTCAAAGCGGATGCCTTGGACTTGGACTTATGGGCCAATGACTCGAGACTTGACTTGGACTTGCCTGTCTTTGACTTGGGACTTGACTCGGACTTGAGGTCAAAGACTTGAGACTTACTGGAGACTCGCAAAACAACAACTTGGTCCCACCTCTGGAACGTACTATTATTTTGTGTTGAAAGTTACAAAAAAATAAAAATAAAAAAATTCTACAGTCTGAAAATTAGTGTTTTGCTTTGTTTTTTACCATTAGTGGTATCGGAGCCTTGAGTATCGAGGGTATTTGTTAGTATTGAAGTCAAAATTGCTGAATTTATTTATAATTAATTTACTGAAAATGTTCAAAGTATGGCATTGAACTTATGTATCTTCATGGATGCAAACACAGGGCATCACCAAGCATGTTACGTGTCTGATCTGTGGAAAAGTGAACCTGGCCACAGATTTATGCAGGTGAAGGGTTTTTTAGGCACTCACACCTGAAATATTATTAATGCAACATAGACCAACTTAAGGAACATTCGGGGCAAAGTACCATTTCTATGAAGAGCCTCTACCAGAAATGTTACACCGTGCATCTTTAAATCTGTGGAGGCAGAGAGTTATGTAAATCCAGAAACTCATTTATTTAAAGTGAGTGTGGTGTTTCCAGGGAGAGGATGTGAGCATGGGCATCTGGATGGCAGCTGTTGGACCCCAGAAATATCAGGTAAAGAGCTTTTAGTTTGACAGACTCTCACATTTTGTATTTGCATTACGGTGAAAAATGACTTTAATTTAGAGTGGTTTATCACATTGCAGTCTTACTTTTTCTACTATAAAAAAATCGAGATTAAAGAAGATGAGTATTGGACCATGGACAAATTAATTAGTTTTGGTGCTTGTCCAGACCATTGCTTTGATCCAGGAGAGTTTAATGGATTCCTATTGCATAGCTGAATCTGTCTGCAAGTCCATATAACCCTTAAATGGCTGTTTAAAAAGCAGTAGTAGTTGTTTTAGTCATTTTTAGTTGCAATGTGTAAGTGTGTAATTGTGTGTAAGTCTCTAGTCTAGAGTTTTTAACCATTATGTATTTTTTACTACTTTACTGTGTCATAGTGTCAAGTTTCATAAAAAAAATAAAATAAAAAAAATTTGCATGAGATTACAATCTTGGACACAATATTTATGTTTTTCAAATAGTTTATTAGTTACAACTAGGGTTGAGCGGTATCCAAATTTTTATACCATTAAACCTTATCAGGATTTCACCGGGGTATACAGTATTATCATATTTCCAAAATGTACGACTATGGTAAGCTACGAAGCAACACCGCTATACGGTCTATGCGTATGACCTGCAGATTTTTAATCTCTGAAAAATTTCACATGAACCATCTCCAACGTGATACATGCTCAGAACAGACTCACCGTCAGCAGCACACCCTCTGTCGCAGAAAGAACATATTCCACTGAGTCATGTCCTTTAACTACATTATTTCCCCAATGAAAAATAATCCAAATGTATCCCGCACATGTTCCAATCAAGACCTGGCGTTTGAAATAACACACGTTGCTCTTTACTGCAGCGCATGAACGCGCTCAACCACTTGATCTGGTCGCTGTTCCAGACGCTCCTATAACAAGTGCCATATCGCTATGTCGTGTAACAAATAAACATGGTCAAGCACAAAAATGTTGTGCTTGACCATGGACAACAAACGGACAACATCCAGTGTCAATGGGCTAATCTGATAGAAGCTGAGCTGCATGAGCTGCACAAGGAGGGAGCTGTTTTTATCAGCACTTTATAGTTTATGTAAATGAGCCCTGTGGTTTTAAGTTTTGTTTCTGTAAAACATAAACAAATGTGCGCCTGAAGCTAAAATGCTGCCAAACTGCAGGAGAACTAGTATTTATTTTATTTTTTTTTAGGACCAATTCGCTTGCGGCCTGACTTGCCATCTTGTCTTGGTCTCCCTTATGAGCGTCACATGACAACAGAACGAAACTAATCAAACATCATCTCCCCACACAGTTAAAAGAAACAATATTGATATTATTAGTTTTAAATCGTGATTGCATTAAATTTAAAATACAACCACACATTCATTTGTACTAAGCAAACAAATGTAGGTATCAATAAATTATAATATTATATTAAGTCCTTATGCACTGCAGATTTTTAATGACTTTAATGAAGTTGCTAATATTACAGGATACCGTAATACCGTATTACTGCCCAACTTTAGTTACAACTGATCTGATCTTTACATATGACTCTGATTGATTGTTGCAGCCGCGCTATATGATATTTCTGAATAATTACAGATAGCATGTGCTCCCTAATTGAACCTCTCTTAAACTTTAATTAAGTTTGCCGCATGTTGAGCCCTCCCCTCTGTCGCTCTCATTGGGAGGGCAGAACAGGCTGATTAAATAATCAGGAGGTATGCTGAGAGGTAAGGCTAATCCTGAATAGGTGATTTCAATCAATACAGATTCAGGTCTAAAGCTCTAACAGTGTAATTTTCAACTCCAGTCATGCAGAGACAAGGCTTTGGACAGATTTTTGTTTAACTGAAACAAAATAGATGTGATTCATACCAGCATCAAACATTCTCCAAAAACGTGCCCAATCCAAGGCAAAAGGATATTCAACAACAGTGAAAGCAGATTCAGCTAAAAGTGATGGTTCCCAAACTCATGAAGAGTTCAAGAGAGAAACTTGTTCTGACAATAAAGAAAAAGGTTTATTGACTATTTTTAAATTGGCAAGAAAAGGAAAAGACAAAAGAGTAAACAAAAAAAGGTTAAAAATATAAAAGCATTGACAGTATACAACAGTTTTTTGATTGTAGACGCTTTGAATTAAAATTTAGCCTTATTTTAAAAGCATTATGTTTTCACTAATAGGGTTGTGCAAAAATATCAAAATATCAATATGTCGTATCATTTAAATGTGATGATACAGTATCGACATTGTGCGCTGCTATATCAATATATCGCCAAGAGTATTTTTTGGTATATTTTACTAAATTATTTTGTTACAGCGCTACAGTTGTGTTGCTTGTATGTAGAGGAAGGAAACTTGATTATGCAACACATTTGACATTTTCACTGTTTGGATGATTAAAATGTTTGTGTTTCATATGAACTTTGCACAAGAAGTGGTTTCACAAAGACTTTTAGTATCATAGCCATGATTTAGAATTTTTTTTTTTATTGCGCCGTATCAAATTTATTTGAAATGTATTGTATCGAATCGAAAGCGCACTGTATCGAGATATGTATCGTATCAGCAACTTCTTACTGATACCCAGCCCTATTCACTAGTGCCACTGTCAGTGAACACCGCAGTTTGAATTGTCCTAAAACAACTTCGTGGTTAGTTTCTTTTCTTGCTGTGGTCAGTACCTAAGTTTGGCTTGAGAATAATTGACGAAAGTGCATTTAATTTGCTGAACAAACCATCTCTGTCTAGTGGGACTGACTGTAACCTTGAGCAAACTTACAAAGATCTGCTGCAAACTTGTTGAAGCGACTGCAGAGATACTGAGGTCAAATAAAGGCCAGGCTTAAAGGAACACTGTGTAACTTTTCTGGTGTAGGTCTGCCACAAGCTTGTCTGCATAGAGATATTACTGGCATTAAACTTGTCTGTCAATATGGGGATAAGCAAGTGGCGCTACCAGACCAAGTTACAAGTCAGATCTGTATAGAGGCAAGCCTGATCACGATAAGAATCCAGGTTATACTAGATAATATTTAGCGAAAAAAATACCTGCAGTGTGTCAAAATCTGTTTGTGTCTCTCCATCAATCCTCCTCTGACATTTATTATACAGCTCATAGGATTATTATGGACTGACAGGCAGGAACATCGCGAGAAATAATAGGCTGCTAGAAAATGCATTATACATCAACATTGACGGATATACTCAAATCATGTTTCATTAGGTAGGTCAGAGGGATGTGGGGGAAATGTCGTCACTTTTCTCCATATTGATCGATTTATATTTATGAAACCTTGAAAACTTGATGCTGTTTGTCAGGGTGCAGGCTATCTAGGTAATATTCATGTAACATCACAATATTTTTTGAATCCCTGTAGTTTTAAAATTGAGCTGGAGGACAGGTCAGAAATGTTTGTTGGAATTAGCTGTGAAACTGTCAGATTGCAGATTTGTTGACCTAGTTTAAGGTTAATATCTCTGTAATTGACTGTATCCAGGGAAATACCCTTTTTACAATAGCTTCGGAAAGTTGGTGATTATTAAAACACAAAGGCATGATTTGTTGTCAGTTGAAAGGATAAGAATAATTGTGGTGTGTGGAGCCAGTCCTTAACAAATTGTTCGTATTTTTTCTCAAAACTGTCCTCCATCTGAAATCATGACAATCAAATTCTACATGAATGTTTTGGGAAAAATATCTTCTTGTGCTTTTTCTAACGAGGGTTACAAATGCGATTACATTTGTGATGTATGTTTTAATAATAGGATCCTGTTCAAAGTTTAAACACGTCCAGAAATATTGACAAAAAGACTGAATTATGAACTTACAAACCAATACCAGAAGCATATTTTGAAACAGATCTAAACTACAGAGTTAGCTGTTTTTATGCTGAATAAGTTGTTTTGTTTTAGCCTTTGTGATTTGCTAATTGAGCTCCTTCAAATTTGATTTCGATTACGATTAATCTGGCAGCCCTAGTGAACTCTGTCTCTCTAACTATTGACAGACTTTCAAGTCATTAGCATGCTGGTCAGACCAGAGAGATATAGCAAAAATCTAATTGTTTTCATCCATTTTGATCATTCAAATAAAACAAAACTGAACTCCTTTGTGCTGTTGTTTAACAGGATGCAGGCTGGTTGTGTGAAAAGGAGTGTTACCTGGACATGCTCTCCTCACCTCAGCACTCGGCCCAGGAGCTTCACCTGCTCTGGGGCCGGAAACAGGCCTGTGGGGACCCCTGTGGATGTCCCTGGGGCCACTGAACTAACCAACACCTCTGCAATGCATTATGGGTAAAGAGCGGGCAATACCAGTTTGACTATGGGTTAGTAATAAATTAACTAGGGCTCCACAAAAAACTCTTGTGATAATCAAACAACTATAAGTACTGTTTTCTACATTTTAAATTCATACAGAAGACCTCAAATATATGAAGTAAGATATAAAGAATTATGTAATAAAGGAAAGAAGTTGAATAACTCTAAATGTTTACTACAAAGTAAAGGGTGGCTACTTTGAGGATTTGAATATGAAATATAAAACTAAACCGAAGATTTTGAAGTTTTAGACCTAGAACTTTTCTTTGCTATATAATGTGTGTTTTCTGTACGTATATAAAATGTAGAAAGTAGTCCAAAAAAAAAAAAAAAAAAAACATTGATTGAGATATTGTGTCCAAACTTTTGACTGGTAGTGTAAATGGCCAAGTTAAAATATCTAATTGATACTGGAATACTGGCACTGTAGTACTTGTGTATTTGTCACACAGCTTTCATGGACCTGACATTATTGTTTTAAATTATTTTTAATGATCTGTGGTAGGTAAGTAGATTAATATTTCAACCTTCCTTTCCAAACTTCGGTTTCCCCAAGTTTTTTCTCCACAACTTGAAAACAACTGCCCAATATTACACCATCCTAATATGCTTCTGAGCTAAAATGTGAGGGAAAATAAGGCTCTTGAATAATTTAAGGGTTAGCCATGGCTCAACAAGATCCGAACCAGGTCACATGTGGGCTAAATTTAGGTCTAACCCAGGACTTATTCTCTGAGGCATAAGACTTACTGTAACTACGGCAGTAGTTAAAATACAGTTATGACAACACAAGGCTGAATAGGAGCATGAAATACCTGGCTAATTGAGACCTTGCATCTGGTGTCATCAGCATTACCTGGAGGGGTGATGCTAACTGGAGGCTCTACTCTGTTTGAAGCTCGGTTACTCGAGTTAGACTTTAATCTGTTTTAACAATCTCACCAGTTAGACATGCTTATACATCACATCTTTGTTTGCCAATCAGTGCAGTATATTGAAATTATGGTATATTTGTGTTTATGTCGGTGTACTCAGTGTAATGACACATGCTCGTCTTTGCCTTGAATGTTCCAGAGTATTAGCCTGATTCATCACACGGTTTCACTTCGTGGAGACGGTCTGGCCTCGCAGCATTTGGATTTGTTCGCTCGACAGAGGGTGGGCTCTTTTTTAATTTAACCAATCGCTGCTATTTGGTTATGACGTATGTAATGCACCGCTAACAGGGCTAACGGGTACATTTAGCTTTTCCCAAATCCCTTAGGAAGAAGGGCAATAACGTCTTTCCCCTTGATAAAATTCACCAAACATTCTCTTTATTCCAGCTTTAAATCCTTGATCTTGGGAATTGTTGCCAACACAGAATGTATGGCTCTTTGCTGATTGGTTGGTCCCGAACTCGCACATCCAGGGTTCCTGCAAACCGTCTAGTGTATTCCGATTTCTGACCTAGTCACTGTAGAGAAATTAAATTGAGCAGAGGCACTAGGTGAGTATGGCATTACACTTGAATTAATTAATTAATGAAATCTCCGCAGAAACGAGGAGAGTCACCAATCTTGGTTATACTTGAGATTTGTTGAGAGGCAATCCAGCTCACAGCATAAATCCATATTTTAAAGGTATTGTGACGCAAAAAAGAAAAGAAAACAAAATAACACCCTCAGTCAAATGAGTGCTATACTGTGGAACATTCCAGGCAAAGCTATAATATCTCCATGGAGACATGCAGGTGCTGGACCAGCCACCAGAAAAGTTAACCTTAACGATGCTTGTCCTGGTTTAGACCTGATTAAGATCTGGTTTAGTCTTGTTTAGCTCTCGTTTGTTTCTATTTTGGTCCTGTGGGTTATTTCAGGTTAAAATGTGCACTTTGAAATGAAACACTATATATTGGGAATTTGTGTGAAAGAAAATAATCAGCTTTTGATACATTGTGCAGCCCCAGTTAATTGCAATCAGTGCTGCTCATCATTTGAATCACGCTTTGTTAGAAATATTGTAAATTGTACCGATTATCACCACACAGTTTCTCTTGTTGTAAAATGAATTGTTTTGAATTCACTTAAAAAATTTTCACATGTGTAGCTTTGAACATGTGTAGCTTCAAATGCACATTCAACTGTAACATATGAACGAGCTTTGTGCCATTGACGTGTAAATACAGAACAATCAAAGAGAAGAAGTGAGAGAGAGAAAAGTCTAATAGCTGCTCTGAAACTTGGACATTTTATGCTCATTTGTTGAAAAACTTGACAAACTTTTAAAGTATTTTTGACACCATTTTGTACATAACGTTCAGCTTTACTTTACAATGTACATTCACGACGAGCTTTCTCACACAGATGTTTGAATGGTAGCTTTCATTGTGCAAGTACAAGTGCTGTGGCCTTAATGTATTATTAGACTTTTGGATTATCTTTAAAATGTTTTTTGTCAGTATCTGAAATATGTTTGCAAAGTTTTGTGTTGGATTTAGGATCTTTTAGAAAATCCAAAATGGCTCAGTTAATCCCAGATTTACGATGGACATTTTACTCTTTACTTCTCTACAATATTATGATTGAAATACAGACTTATTTTAAGACTAGCTCGTACTTAAACGTTCTGTACCTGATTAATTTCTCATGTATTCGATCAAAACTTGCCCTTGGTCAGGCCAGTACAGATATATTGTATTCTTGAGGTCAATTTATGTCTACTACGTGCTGTCTGCACCTAATTATAAAGCGTTTTTTTGTCAGATAATCATTATTAGCATTACTGTTGCAGCAAAACTCTTCACTGGTCTCTGAGAGTTATGAAAAGTGCTTATTATAAACTTTAAAAATAAAATCACCATGAATAATTAGGATGATTGGAATGCCCAAGGTAAGTGCAGCATAACTTTGGACTACTGCAAACTTTTAAAAATTAACTAATTTAAATTTTTCACCTTTTTAAGACAGCAAAAACCTGGTACAGCGTTTTTGGACAATTATTCTTGAATAAACAAAGTTTTCATGACATGCCTTTAAACACGCAAAGTTTAAAATACAACTCCAGGTTTGTGGTTTGTTGGTGCACTCAAAACAAAGAAACGCTGACACATACATGTAAAAGTTTTCCATTTCAGTAGATCATCTGAAAATCTAAATAGCTGGTTTTGGTTAAATCAAAAGACACAATATATTTCTTTTTTAGGATCAAATACATTGTTTGAGTATAAGGTTATTGCAGTTCTATTTTCATGCAGCACTGTTGTTTATTTTGGGCAAATTAAAAGCAGGAGTGTCTTTTTGATACAGTCTGTGCAACTTCAATATTCATTTAATATCCTAATATTCATATTCATGTTTGTTGTGGACCTTTGATCATTGCAATTCAGATTAATTTAACTTTAAATCTTACAGAAATTGAATGGTTTAGGTTCATGCCACATTACAGGTAATATGAAAATGTATGTTGACTGTGTTAAATTGCTTGAATAATTTATGATTTATTTTTTGTTACAGTTTGTCAAATCTGTTGTTTATTTGTTGCCTAACAATGCTACACTTGTTTCTATATTGTTTTGTAATTGCATTTAAACTTCTAGGGATCACTGGGGCTCTATTGTACATAACCGCTGTATGTTTCACTGCACAAAATGTACAAATCTGTGTATTTTATGTCACAACATTTTGAAATGTAACAACTTACGAAAAACTGTGAAACTTTTCTTCAAATTACGACTCTTGGTTCAGACGCATCCTCTCAATTATTAATAAAGACCTCTTAAGTACGATGAATTATATTAATGTTGTTTATTTTGGGCTTGTATCAATTGAAAATCCTCAGTGACTTCCATCCCAAACACGCGTAACACAACAGACTGCGGCCAAGCTGTTGCACGGACGCATTTCTCCGACTTGAAAGGAATCCTAAAAACGCTTTGATCTTTTGTTTTGGATGAAGTGAGTGGAGGACAGCGCCAGCATGTCGAGCAGAGGAAGTTCAGCCAAAAACACTGTACTGACCACAAGCTTTAAGTCAGTCACATCCTTAAAACTGGCTACTACACAGTATAACGTATGTATCTCTATATGTATCACGTGTTTATAGGGATATTTGAAGTGCTCATATTATATTTTCTGATCTATCTTTTAATGTTTCCTCATCCCAAACATGTCTGGAGTTGTGTTTTGTTTCATTCACATGTTTAACACACAAACCCTGCATATTCAGGCTGAGCTCTTCTCTTATACAGAAAACACTGGAATACAGAAGTGCTCCACAGTGTTTTTAAATTCCATACACAGGGTTCTCACAGTCATGGAAGTCATGGAAAGTCATGGAACTTTAGTATCTCTTTCACTCAACTACAGCGTTCTGTTATGTTTTCATTAGGCTATTATGATTATTTCTGAACGTTTGCGCCTTTTGTTTAAAAGAGACGACAATAAATGCACTGACAGTATTTTGAATGATAAAAAACTAATGCAAACCATAAGGTGAGTGGAAAGGGTTAACATTTCATATTTAGCCCTAAAAGTCTGCTAAATTCTACACATGTAGGATGCCGTAAAGTCATGGAAAATTCACTTTAGGTCATGAAAAAGTCATGGAAAAGTTTTAAAATTTTGTGCATTGAGTGAAAAAGAGTGGGAACACTGCATACACCTTCACTAGAATCATTTGGAACATTTCAGCCCTGGAATTGTCAATATTTTACTGAACTAAAACTACCACCACATGACATCACAAGGTGGAACAAATCATTTTGAGCTTTGGAGATGTAGACAGATGAATAATAAAGGATTACTCAGACGTGTGAATGAAACAAAATACAGCTCCAGGTATGTTTTTGATTTGTGAGCTTTAAACCAGAATGTTGTTACAAGAGTCCATTTTGTGTATTATAAGACCTTTAAAGATGCACCAGATAACTTTTCCAATTGCAGTTTTCACCGCCTGCTCGTCTCTTCATGATATTGCTTTCCACAGTATGACATTAAAATTCAATTACATTACAACATGCAAATTTAACCTTGGCCTGGTGGCGTCATCTGGCGACTCAATGAAGACAGATACGTTTAATGATATACTGAGGGACAATTCAGGCAAAAGGCAATAACGTCTCTAAGCAAACAAGGTGCCTTAGCTACTGCTCACTAAGAATGGTCTCTGGTACCTGTTATCTGGTCAGCCAAAACCACATGCTTTGACAAAACTTTACAAAGACATGTGGGTCTGGAACTGTATCCTGTCTCCATGATTTCAGATTTGCATGGGCTGTTCATGTCAAAACAAACATGGTGGCTTACTAGTAAAAGGAGAAAAACAACAGCAGGACTGAGAAAGTGTGGATTTCTGCAGAACCAACAAACAATGCACTAAACTCTTCTCGGGTAAAAGAAGTTATATTTTATTCTGAATGATACCATAATTTTGTCTTCTTTATTTGAGATACATGTGATACAAATTACAAGATATCATTGACCTGTTCTGCAAGTTAGGACAGTGGTTTCAAGCTTTATAGTCCAATTACAGAATGTATAAGGGACAGACAGGTCAGTGGTAGTTGGACTTTCCCACAATACTCTAGATAAGTTGACCTAACCAGCACCATGCAGCGGGTCAAATGACTCACCTGTCTACTGCAGTTTGTTTTGTGTTTTTTACTTTTCTGCAGAGGTGGGGACTGACTTAGACTTGAGTCACTGTTTTTAACATTTTACTTGACTTGATAAAATGGACTAAGACGTGGGACTCGACTTGGACTTGAAGCTCAGTGACTCGGAACTTGACTCGGACTTTAGGCCTGTGACTTGAGAAGACTTCATGCTTCTCCAAAAAACTACATGTTTTAGAAAATACTTTTAAACAAACTGGAACATGTATCTCTCACTTCTCTGTTTATTACTATGGATGTAACTGAAGTACTGTGATGTAGTATCCTCAAATGTACTACAGTAATATACAGTACAAGACAGTAAAACAGAGGGAACTACAGAGAACATGATCTTTCCATTTCAGTGCAGACAACTTGACAAAATAATTTCACTTTTAAATCTTAATTCTTTCTGTTCTGACTGTAATAATTTGTACTCTTGTCAAGACATTTAAAAAGGAAAAAGAAGCATTTCTAAATCCATGTGTCATTCGTTTATTCATTTTTCAATATAAAACCAAAAATAAGAAAATGAAAAAAACAACTATTTTCTTCATTATTTGTCTCCAAAACCAAACTGAAAAGCACAGATAATGATTTGTTTTTTCAGTTTGCGATTTTGTGTTTAAATGAATAATAAAAAAAACAGATAATGGTCGTTTCCGTGACTTAAAGTGCGATGCCGGACTTTTGCACCGCATATGGACTGAACCAGGAATGAAACAGGACTAAAACAGGACTAAAACAGGACTAAAACAAAACTGAACCAATTGCAAAACTAAAAAAGCTATATTTGGTTCTTTGGTTTAAAGACTTGAAATCACTTGAAGCTCAAAGCAGATGGCTTAGACTTGACTTGGACTTATGAGCCAGAAACTTGGACTTGGACTTGCCTGTATTTCACTTGGGACTTGACTTGGACTTGAGGTCAATGACTTGAGACTTTCCTGAGACTTGCAAAACAACAACTTGGTCCCACCTCTGCTTTTCAGTTGTACAAAGAACAATAACCGGATTAGAATTTGGTCCGTGGTGAATTAATATTGTTAATTTAGTTAGTATCAGGACCTAAAATGGGCCAGGGAGACATTTTAAATCACTATTAGCTTCAATGCACAGACATGAGTGTTCACCAGGGATTAGAATTACCCGAGGAGCTCTGAGTTTGCAGAATTACAGGAAGCAAAATTCAGCGGGAAATTTTACAGATATTTTTTTAAGACATGGACGATTCGTACTTAGACTTAGACAAACTTTACTGCTTCACAAGGGAAATTACTTGGACACAGTAGCTCACACATCACAATATATTATAATAACAAAGAGAAAAAACACAATGGTAATAATAAATTCTAAATAAGTAGAAAAAATAGCAAGAGACTGGTGTCAAATAAGGGACCAGAAATAGAGATGACGTCTTTAATTATTATAAATTCGCAATGAACCCTAATCCCATGTGAGTAGGGCTTTAGTATGTAGTCTTACACCTTGTCATTATGTTAACATTTGTGAATGGTTATAAATGTCACCAATTTTTTATTAATTTAGTTTTTGTTTGTTTTTTTTCCAAAATCTGTCCCAATACAGAGCCCCCATCTCTTTCTCTGTTCCTCTCAAGCCCCACAATTGTCTCCTCGGTCCAATCGATTGTTTTATTTTCACATTTGGTGATGAACTGAGCCAAAAAGTCTGAAGCATTTTCAAATATTTCTTCCACTTTGCCGTCTCTCCCAGGAAACAACAGGATTATAAAAAGCCTGCAGAGAAGTTATATCTGTTATTTAACCGATGCCAACTGCAAAGCTCCAAACAACCTGAAAATTACCATGTCTTTTTCAGTCCGTGAATCATTTGTTTATTTCAGTATGAGACCTGCAGATCCACCTCTGTCAAATTGGCTCGCTGTAGATTTTTGTAAATAATGAAAAATGACGCAAGGTATTTTCTAATGCATGGTAATACGTGTCATTATTTTTATTTAGCCCTGTGCTTTTCGCCAAAAAAAAAATCTGTTCATGTAATTAGGTCTAAAAGCAGTAGTGGAAAGACTGTCAATTTGTGAAACTATATACCAAAAATGTACTTCAAATACTGCTGCAAATTTGTACTTAAAGGTGCACTATGTAACTTTTTGGTTGGGGGTCTGTCACCTCAGATTCAGATTCAGAAAACTTTATTGATCCCAGTTTTAGAAGTGGGTTGTCTTTCATATCGCAGCATAAAACCAACACCCTGTAGGCATCGTGATAAAGTCAGGAGCCAGAGGACAGAGGGGCTGAGCCTGGAGACACTTTTCTTTGTTCAGCTCTTGCTCCTCCCACAGAGAATGCAGCTCTCAGTTTGACACCTGTGATTTCTGAGCAGGTTTTAACAGTGTTCTTCAGTTTGTTTGTTTTTTATTCTTCAAGGACAGGGATTGAAACCAGCAAATGAAAGAAAAAGTGAGCAGATTTTTGAACAATAAGAACAATAAAAGTTCTTGCGAATTGTTTTGTTTACATTAAAAGAGTTCAGTTTTCTCAACCGGTACATCTCTTGCTGCCCTCGTTTAACAATGCTTTCAGTGTTTATGTCAGATATATCAATTTATTGTCCATCACGGTGCACAGATATTTGCAACTATCAACAATTTCAACATCATCACCGTAGAAACCAATCACCAAATCTGTGGTTTTAGCAATGTTCAAATCCAGGTAGTTGTCCTCACACCACTGGACAAACTTCCCCAGTGCAAGGACATGGTTTACCTCAAAGCAGCGACACCAGGACCATGTCATCAGAAAATTTGGTCAGGAATCTGTTTTCTTGCCTGTTTCTATGGATATGTCACTGCCCTTCCTGGAATGTTTCACAGTATGACACAGTATGAGCCTCTCCACAGATCTGAGCTGTAACTTGGTTTGGTTTGGTCTCCATGAAGATAGAAAGGTTTGATACTATACTGTGAAACATTCCACAACAAAGCAATAACGTCTCCACCGAGAAAATCATTTGATGGACCCTCTACCAGAAAAGTTACACAATGCACCTTTAAGTAAATGTATAAAGTACCCAAACACCACTCAAAATAGTTACTTTTTCAGGTAATTTTAGTGATATTTTTGTTTAGTCTTTTATACAAACCACTTGTTTTTGCTTTGTCT